TCTTATTATTTGGGAAATTGTGATTCTGAAGCTACTTGTTGCTTTCCTCTACGTGTAAAAGAGTTCATTCAATTGATCGACAATCTGCATAAGCACACTTGACCTTATCTTGCTGTCCTGATGAAACAAAAGTCGATGACGTGATATGACGTCAATGTCCGCGACCAGGCAACCCATTTTTTTATAATTCTCAACTTAACTTATAAAATATCATTTAATCCATTGAACAGATTTATTAATATACAATTTCTAGTTCTAGATATAGGGATATACTTACAGAACGGGAACCACGAGCCAGCTGTGTCACTTGATGATAATCAGCCGTTACCGTTGAATAAACAATGAAAGAAGCGAAAAGTAAAATGCACTTCATATTATTGGCAGCTGTGTAAAGGCGATTTTCAACTAAGTAGTTATTTTATAATGGACAAATTACTTTTAGTAAACCAAAACAAATGAATCGAAAATGTAACGAATGATAATTCTGATCGTTCAGATGGTTTCAGTATTTATATCATCAACCTACTATTGTTCATCTTATCTTCTGGGTATATCGAAAAACACTCGAGATATAAACGATAATGATCCACCAAAATTCACAATTTCGAATATGAAATGATATATGACACACTACTATACTATTCTACGGATGTAATGGAGATAACTAATTTTCGTAGAAAAAACTCATGAGCGCCTTCATCATGATATTACACACGAAATGTTTTCAATTCTTGATTCCTAAATGTGTCTGAACTGCCATCTTGAGAAACTTTATTTTTTACGAATATTTGCCTAATTTACATAGTTGCAACAGTATATTTTAGTGCTGATTTACAGTTGCAACTTGCAACTGTAAATTAGGTTGAAAATAGTGGATTGTTTCATTAGGATCAAAAGTGACACTTTGTTTGACAAGCGAATCTTGTATTTGCGATGCGAGTCAAACAAAGTCAACAATATGTGACTTACTTGACCTTTATTATAATAATATAGGTTAGTAGATAGAAGCAAGACCTCAGACTACTTTACATTAGCATATTGGTGAACGATGACCATGTATTCAACTGAATAATATGAATCACTCTGTGAGTAGGAATTTCATTTTGTCACTATTTTTTTCAGATACTTCATATTTTGGCTATCTTTCGATATCTATATAGCTCATTGATCATTTTTCTAATCTTTTAATACCCAAGTAACAATTCAGGATCAATAAAAAAGGGAATTATCGTATTGGTACTTCTTGTGCTGTTTATTGAATAATTTCATCATTTAACGTATTTATTCGGACTGATTCTTTAAAAGAACCTATCTGTGATTTACCACTGCAGTGAGAGTATTCTTACAATCAGAATTTTAAGAAATTTATTCAATAAACTTAGATGTTTTATAGAGCATGTATGGATATTCTTATGACTTCCTATAAAATAATTTCATTGTGGTAATATAAAGCGATTGTAAACGCTGTGTAATTATTCTCACGAACACTCATAGAAAAAATCATGACTAGTTTTGTAGGTAGTTTATTCAACCATTTTATGAGTATGAGCGTTAAATAATTGATTGTAAAATAACTTTGAAATACCTTATAGGAATATGTTATGCTGTGGATTTTACCGTAGTTGAATGCTTGCACTATAGAAGTCTAATGCCTCTTAACGCTGCTTCCCAAGTAACAATTTGAAATGAATAAAAAAACATGTCTATGAAAAAAACGAACTATTGTATTGGTACTTTTCAGTGCTGTTTATGGAATGATCTGATCATGTAGCGCATTTAATTGGACTAATTCATTGAAATTACCTATCTGTGAATCATAAGTCAAATGTATTATATAAATCAAGAGATTTTATGACTTGCTATAAAATAATTGTATAGTGGTAATATAAAGCGCTTATAAACGCTGTGTAATTCTTCTCACGAACGGCAATACAAAAACTTATAACTAGTTTTGTAGATATTCTATAAAACATTGTATAAGTATTATCAGAACTATTTTATAGCAGCGTTATATCATTGATCGAAAAAATACATGAAAATACCTCAGAGAAATATTTTATGCTGTGGATTTTGACGTAGTTAAATGCTTGCACTATAAAAGTATAATTTCTCTTATTGCTGCTTACCTAATAAAACAAACAATAACAGTTAAATCTTGTATTTATTGGAATGTGAAGTTTTCAAATAAATCTTGATGATGGTGCTCGTTGGCAGAGAATTAAGCAAAATGGAAATTTCAAACGGGAAGGAGTAATGATTGTTTCACAATAATTACAATGATATATAGCGTTGTACTCCGCAATACAATGATCGTATAATTATATAAAAACACACACTACAGAACCGTTCGGTTGCATGTGTACTGTTGCATACCGCCGCGTTAAAGGATGGTCAAAGCCTTATTCGATGGCAAAGCCAAGGTCTGGTCAAAGCAAGGTCAATGGGTCAAAGGCACTTTCTGCTAATTGTTGCCAGATTGTGATAAAAGTATTGTATTGGTAAATTGATATCACAGAATACATTGTTGAGTATTCTGTGTTGATATTACTTAAAGGGTGCGCACAATTTTTATAATCCACTGAATATCAAAGTATTGAGGTACAGGGAGTTTCCGTCTAAGATGTTGAGAAATAAATAACCGATCCAACATTATTCTGACAGTTATGTGTGCGAGTCAATTTTAAACATTACGCCCGCTAATAAACCTTACTGCTTGCCGTGATTTGCGGAACAGTTACCTCCCAAGGGTCAACAATACTAGCGGGCGTTTAGTGCATGTATATATTAATTAACACCATAGGCTACAAGGACTAGTATAAGTAAAGCCAAAACATATGAAATCATTCAAAACCATCACACGCGCCTGGAAATGATATGCGAATTGAGGCGAATGCACTGAATGCACCATGTGTTTCAGCTTCACTTTCTTGTGAATAGATATAGATTATAGATTGACGTCACTCATATACTCAATAGAATTTGATACCTACATAATATATGCTGGCCATGTGAATAAGGATGTCTTCTCTCCATCCTTATAGCAATGAACTCAATATAGTTTATATTAATTTCATTGGTTATCATTGTGTATAGTCTCTAGGCAATGACGGCTAAATATCTAGACTGTCTGACGGGATAACCCATAGACAAACTTATTCGTTTCTCTATGGGATAACCCGTATTGCGATGGCATCATATACGTATTAATAATCAATACGGATAATCTCTATCTGTTTCCATAGCGAAACATGAAGCCGATTTTTGAAGACAAATGACTATCCATAAGGAAAAGTTTTGAAACGATCAGACACATACTGCTTTGATTGAAAGGCTAGTAAACGTCATTGTCCACCGAAACGCATGTCTTTGATTACTACTACAATAGCGCATGGCGCATGCGTATCATGCCACCAAATCCTTATGGATATTCATTTGTTTCATATTTTTGGCTTCATCCTGGCACCCGTTATGATCCGTATTGTTTATTGATACGTATATGGATGGCATCGCGTTTTGTGTTTTCATCTCTCTCAGTCTTTCGGTCTTGTCTCGACGTTTCGTCCTCGGCTATGATTCAAAGCCTTTATTCAAAGTATTCGAATCGAACGACCGAATGGACACGTTCTGCAAAGATCTGTGTGTTCATAGTGTTGCATTTTGCTCACATTCTAACCTGTTAAAGTTGATCGAGTTTTCATTCAACAAGCTTCCTTCTATGAATACTGTCTGGTTATCTCTGTTCATCGCCTACTTCATAAACAGGGATGGTTATAGAAAATCATCAAGTTTATAGCAGGTTGAGCTAATGCAAACGAAGATACCTACTTCAAAACTGCAACGCTGTTGAGTTGTTGGTAATACAGGTTATAGTTACCTGATAAAAGCCAGCAAGCCGCGTTATCGTTATTCTGTATTCGAATTGATATTTGGTATTATTATTATAATTGTTTCTAATATAGTTATTGTAGAGCTCTTGAGCTAGGTTATGACTAGATAGGTCGTCGTTTATTTTTTGTACTCGATACTGAGTACTCGAATGAGTATTCGAATCTTGGAAGTATTCGAATACCATGAATTCGATTCTGAAAATTCTCGATTCTGCCCATCACTATCAGTAGAAATACCTAAATCTTTCGAACCATTCCCATCGCGTGATATGTTGAGATTCGCGTTTTTTGATGATTATTTTTCGCTATAAAATTGTGGAGGATGAGTTTGGTCAGGAGGTTCAATTCTGGTTCACTACTATGTCGTCAACCCACTGTGATCATTTGTGTAGTGATTTGAGCATTTAAGAATGTTTTTCCTTCCTCTAGAGACCCTGGAGGTTTTGGAAATGGTTCGAAAACTTTAGGCTCTCGAATTTTAATGACTTGTCAATGAATTCTATACTAACGTATGTACTTTGCTGAGATGTTTATATTATAAAGGGCGCCGTACATTATGCTATGTCTCGGAAAGTTTGAGGCAATGCAATTTTCTCGCAATTTTCTCATTTTATTGCCGTACATTGAGATATTTCTGTCATATTTTCTTGTTCATATTCACTATTTTCAGGTTTTTTGAGCCTTCAATGTACTTTTTGAGGTTATTTGGTGTCTCAGGCCACGTTATGGAGAAAATTTGTATTTTATCAAGATGCTACGATGAATATTACTTAAAATTTTACTAAACTTGCCTTGAAATTGCAGGAAAAATAGGACTTGTTCTATTAAGAAACTTGCATGAAACTTGCCGTGAAATATCATTGACGCATGCGCATTGTTCGATTCAAAATTGCATTGCATCGAACTTGCTGGTAAATAGCATGTACGGCGCCCTTAAAAATTATAAACATCTCCTACATTGCTTTGCCTTGCTTGTCGTTGACAAATTGACATTTGACAATGACATTCGTATTCCTGAAGGCTGAAAGAACATGGGCGCTTTTGATTTGTTTATATTTGGTATAATCTAATAAAATACTGAAATAGTTATGTATATTATCAATTTTAATTATAGGACTGGACTAGAAACTTTTTAGATGAAAAGGATACACAGATTTTGAGCTATAGAACATTTTTTATAGCGTGAAAATGGCGAATGGACCAATTGCAGAAAGAAATAGAGGTAAAAGTTTATGAACATAACCAAAACCGGCACTTTCAAGAGTATTCAAATGCATGTATTAACTCAATAATTGCCTTATGGAACCTATTTCGATCGTTTTTTTCAGATGCAACTATTTACGTTGGAGGTTTAGACGACAAGGTCTCAGAATCTTTACTATGGGAACTTTTCGTACAAGCTGGACCTCTAGGTAAATATGAAGATATTTCAGTCAGCACATGGATCATGTAATATTATATTCACTGTTTTCAGTCAATGTCCATATGCCAAAGGATCGTGTCACAATGATGCACCAGGGCTATGGATTTGTAGAATTCATGGGGGAAGAAGATGCTGATTATGCCATAAAGATAATGAACATGATAAAGTTGTATGGCAAGCCTATCAGAGTCAACAAGGCCTCAGCCCATCAAAAGAATCTTGATGTAGGTGCTAACATATTCATAGGGAATCTTGATCCTGAAGTAGATGAAAAGCTGTTGTATGATACATTCTCAGCTTTTGGAGTGATACTGCAAACACCCAAGGTATTGTCTTTGCTACTTATCATCATTTGAATAAAAACAAGCTTGCTTTGTAGATAATGAGAGATCCAGAGACTGGCAACTCCAAGGGCTTTGCCTTCATCAACTTTGCCAGCTTTGAGGCTTCAGATGCTTCCATAGAAGCCATGAACGGCCAGTACCTGTGCAACAGACCAATCTCAGTCTCCTACGCCTTCAAGAAAGACTCCAAAGGAGAGAGGCACGGCTCGGCAGCAGAGCGCCTCCTGGCGGCACAGAACCCGCTCTCTCAAGCCGACCGCCCCCACCAGCTCTTCGCCGATGCCCCGCCCGTCGGCATGATGCCCATGCCGCCCCCGCCCGTTCTCATCTCGGGCATGATGCCGCCGCCCACGCCCGCGAACCTGCATCCGCCGCCCCCACCACCGCCGGTGCCGCCGCCGGGCGCTTTTCCCTCCGGCATTCCGCCGCCGCCGCTGCCGCCCTCGCAGCCTCCGCTGCCGCCTGGCGCGCCGCCTCCGCCTCCGATTGTGGCGGGAGGAACCGCGGGCGGTGCGCATCCGCCGCTGCCGCCCCTGGCGCCACCCACTGCAGGTGAGTTTTCCTTTAGATATCAATCAATCAATCAAAAATGTCCTTTATTGTCCAAGAATAAATTCTTATTTTTATTTTATTTATTTTATTTATTTATTGTACGGGTAACCCCCATTATAATAAATACAAATCATGTATTAAATCTATGTAGTCACTAAAAAAGTTTAACTAATTAATAATTATAGTATACATTATAAATATGAAAATAGATGGAAAAATTACTCCCTCAGTGGAAATTATATACCAAAATGTCCATATCTATTGATTATACAAAATGAAACTTATATTATGTGATAATGATGCTCATAATGTTCTCAATACATTATTTTTGAATGCAGTAAGAGTTATGCCTATTATCTCTATATTTTTCTCATTCACCAATCTGAGTGTACGATCAATAGGAGAATGCATACCATAGTTAGAACGATGAAAGGAAATTCGAAACATATCAGAATTCCTGAGAATTCTACTAGGTACATGTAAAAATATCATTTCAAGGAGCTCAGGACAAATAACAAGGCCTCCAATAAACTTAAACATAAACATCAGGTCAGCAATTGTTCTTCTTTTATTCAAAGAGTTGAGGTTGAGAATGTTCATAATAGAGGTATAGTCATGGTTATCTATAGGAATGTTCATTTTATATGCACAGAATCTCATGAATTTATGTTGAACTCTTTCTAATGTAGTGCAGTGATTCTCATGAAAGGGTGACCAAACAATTGCCATATATACAGTACGTATTGAACTCACTGACAATTGTTTGCAGTTATGCAAGTTATTGACAAAGCATTATGAATTATTCATAGGAATGTGTTGCATAGTAGCTTAAATTATTAGAATATAAATTAGATAAGTAAAACATGAGCAGGTACATAAAACAAGTAAAAAATGTAAAATTATGAATATTATACATACACATACTTATACAATTTAGATCAATACCTAACAAAAAGTGTATCATAATGATTGTTATTGTATATCAAAATCACTGTCATTATAAAATTCTTGCAGACAATAGTATGCTTTAGTAGAAAGTATGTTTTTAATTGTTTTTCGAACCTTTGGTAAGTCTGACATTTGTTTCAAGGTAGTTGGCAAATGATTGTACATTGTTTTACTGTCATACATAACTGAGTTTTTTAATAATTCCGATTCCGGTATTGGTAAGGATATATTATTTTTTTGTCCAGTATTATATGCATTGGAATGTATAGTAGAACACACAGTTTCTAAAATGAAAATGCTACATGGGGTTAGAATTTTGTGCTGTATAAATAGGGGTTTACAGTGCTCAGTACCTTTAACCCCACATAAATAGCAAATGGCTTTCTTCTGTTGTACAAAACTTGAATTGAATAATTGCTGGTTGCAGAAACCCCAGAAAGGTATGCCATGTCTCAAATGAGCCTCAATCAATGCAAAATATGATTCCCTACTGATAAAAAACCCAAGATCTTTAACAATTACTCTGATAGCAAAGCATCCACTAGCCAGTTTTTTGTTCAACGACCTTATATGATCCTTTATCATCCAAGATTATACCCAAAAATTTAACACTGGACATATTTTCTATAGTTTGGTTTTCTAATGACAAACTATTGTGGCTGAATCTGAATGTCAGAGTATGAGATTTAGTAGCATTGAAGCATAGGAGATTAGCATCACACCATGTTTTAACTTTCTTCAGGTCAGTGGATATTATCTCTTTGAGATTATCTATATCACTTCCATGCCACATGAGCGTTGTGTCATCTGCAAATATCATGAACTTTCCTAGAATATCAATATTTGTTAAGTCATTTAGATATAGAAGAAACAGAATTGGGCCAAGTACTGATCCCTGTGGAACACCACAATCAGTCTTCAATATATCAGAATTCTCATTTTGTATTCTGACCATCTGACTTCTGTCTGAGAGATATGATTCTAGCCATTTATATACCATTCCTCTGAGTCCATAGGGGTATGGCTTCTGAAGCAGCATTTTGTGATTAATGGTGGATGACCAATTAGAAGTATCTGGAGAACGAAAAGACAGAACATTCTGATAATTGAGATGCTCTGATAATTGAACATTCTTTATCCGTCTAGAATATTTTCATCGATACAGTGTTGCCACTTCTATCAGAAACAACTAGCAACTTTGTTATTTCAAATGGAACACCCTGTATTTTATTACTTTCTCAGATTCTTCCTGAAGAGCTTATTTCATCAATGTAATATTGAATCGGAAGTTAAGATAGGGACATGTATGCCGTTTTGATCAATAATGAATAGTTTCAACACAAAAAAATCCTAAAATTGAAAAATCTCGATTTTGAACACCCTATATCTCTGTAATCATTCCTGCTAGACCCCAAGTGTGATACATTTCGATCAGAAACAACTAGCAACTTTGTTATTTCAATGGAACACCCTGTATTTCATCACATTTTTAGATTCTTCCTGAAGAGCTTATTTCATCAATGTAATAGTGAATCGAAAGTTAAGATAATAGTCCAATAAATGAAGGAGGAAAAAAAGGCAAAGTTAACGTTAATTACGCACTATTTTCATCTTCCGGTTGGAAGTAGCTTTTGGTACCTCATTAAACATGAGACAAAGTTTGACTGGAAAACGCGTGCGATGGCGGGGAAAATGGCCCCAAAAGACCAGATAGGTTTTCAGCCAATATCTCCTAAAATATGGCAGTTAGAGATTTTCGGTTCAGATAAAAATTGAAGTTGAGTTAATTTTCTACAAAAATGGTCCCTATCATTTTTCTCGAGAATTTGCCCGGTTTCGAAAAAAACGGCACGAAGCGCACCTCGAATAATGAGCTTCTGTGTTGTATGCCGGAGAGCACAGTCCGTGTATTTACACATCGGCGGGGGGACAAATTATTCAATAACTGTTAAAAATGCATATTTTCTCATGATTCAAAGTTCATGTGAAAGAGCAATTCTGCTGCTATCATACCCTGCGTGGCCGCATGGTTTGTAGCAAACGACCCGAGCGCCACGTAGAGCACACACGCGGCGAACGACGGACGAACGAAAGTAATAAATTATAGCGTGTACATTTAGATATACTGTTTTTTTCCCGGGATATCGAAGGTATGACTTATATACATCGATGGAAAGGTGGGATTTCCCCCGTTACACTAGTTAAGGTGTCGAAATGTTAGAAATTAAGAGCACGGAGAAATAAACACCGAAAAAAAAAGTGCGTTTTTTCCTTGACCCCGCTTTTTCTAATTTTACTGAAAAATGGACGACTTCGTCTAAAAAAGTAATTGCACAATCGAAAAGTAGACCTTCTTAGCTTTCAAATGATGTATCATAGATGTATCATTGATGGTTGTTCACAAAATTTCCCCGCGCTCCAAAAACAGCAAAAAATTTGGATTCAATAATCAAAGATTAAATGAAAATTAAAAAAATTAGGGTATACAAATTTCAGGTATGACAAAGGACCTTATGAGGACCCATAATCAAGAGAATTTTGAGTAAATTAGTGCAATACAAAAAAATAGGAACAAATTCATGGCGAGGTCAAAATTGACCGGGAGTAGAAAGTTTGACCCATGTTCCGATATGGCCAAAAGAGTCAAGCGTGACTCAATTCACAGGCTATGATAGCAGCAGAATTCCTCTTTCACATGAACTTTGAATCATGAGAAAATATGCATTTTTAACAAAGTTATTGAATAATTTGTCCCCCCGCCGATGTGTAAATACACGGACTGTGCTCTACGGCATACAACACAGAAGCTCATTATTCGAGGTGCGCTTCGTGCCGTTTTTCTCGAAACCGGGCAAATTTTCGAGAAAAATGATAGGGATCATTTTTGTAGAAAATTAACTGAAATTCAATTTTCATTTGAACCGAAAATCTCTAACTGCCATATTTTAAGAGATATTGGATGGAAACCTATTTTTCTGGTCTTTTGGGGCCATTTTCTCCGCCATCGCACGCGTTTTCCAGTCAAACTTTGTCTCATGTTTGATGAGGTACGAAAAGCTACTTCCAACCGGAAGATGAAAATAGTGCGTAATTAATGTTAACTTTTTCCCTTTATTTATTGGACTATAATAAAGAATAGTTTCAACACAAAAAAATCCTAAAATTATAAGATTACTTTCAAAATTTTATAATTCCTGAAAATCTTTGCAGCTGCGGGCGGCGCCCCCCGCATAATGCCGCCCCCGTGGCCGGGCGGCATGCCGCCTCCCCCTCCCGCCCCGCCAGGCTCGGCGACCGCCGGCCCGTTTGCCGGCATGTTCCCGCCGCCTCCGCCTCCCGGAGGCAGGCCGCCGCCGCCCAACTGGCGACCGCCTCCGCCGCCGCCGAACTTCGCGGGCGCGAGACCCTCCTTCGCGCCCAGGGGGCCGCCTCCGCCGCCTCCCATGTGAAGGGGTGGGACTCGAGGAGTTTTGTAATTGTGACGTTAATAAAGTTTTCCAAAGCCTGTGAGTTTGTTTTTCATAAACATCGTCCATTTTCATTCCAAAATCAGCTCTTGAAGTTGGCGTTTTTATTACTGAGTACTGACACGAAAATAGGTATGTTTGCTAGGCAGCACTTTTTGGTCCTAGAAGCAGCTATAAAGTTGAACTTTAACTCATAGGAACTAAAATGAAGGATGTACTAACTAGGTCATCAAGAATAAACAACATATTATATAGATTATTTAGTATTTATTATATTCATCAATGTTTTTTTCGAAATTCCAAAGGAAAAATGCCATCAGTTCAACTTATTTTGAAAGAAAATTAGCCAACAAACTAATACCTCATCAACTAGTTCCGATTGAAAGACTTATAGGAATAATTAGTTCGAAAAATTTAATTATGACAAGCTCCTTTGGATTAAAATATGAATAATACAATTCATAAATAATTCGAAGCGCTGCATTGAATAATTTAGTGGATTTTTTTTCACTTTTCAGTATTGAATAACTAGTCCATCAATGTTCGACACTGAAAAATCAGAAATAAGTGAAACTGATGGCATTTTTCCTTTGGAATTTCGAAAAAAAACATTGATGATGGCTAAAAATAGGTCGAAACACATTCAAACTAGCTTGTTCAATACATGGTTGAATTCATAATAAGAAAAGCTTTCAGAATCTGTGAAAGAATTATCAGGACCATGCATATTTGAAAAACAAAAGTTGGTGATGGTTCTACGAATACGAAACGTCGCATAGAAAAATCGGTATCACCACGTTAAACGTCATCAAAAGTTGCTATGGAAAAGTATTTTCAGTTTTTCTGTATCTCTAATTATAACGGAGAAAAAAAAATAGATATTCCAAAATTTCACTTTTTTCGATATAACTGGAAAACTTGACACTTTTGAAAATTTTCGAAGGCTGTTGGTATCTAGTTGGTATGAGCCTCCGAATGCGCAACTTTTTCCCCATTTAACCGACTTCGTATCTCCTACCGTTTCCGATATCCCCATGCTGTGCAACCTTTATCTTAGACCCTCTCTGTTGCTATTTGATGGATTTATCATTCTTTGATTTTTTTGTTGCTGTCACCTCTGTTATATTATTATTCTTGTTTGTAATCAACTTTCTCATACCAGAATTATATTTCTAATTGGAAGCTATTTTCTCAATCAACATTAAAATTACAGTCAATTTGTAATATTTACCTTGAAAATTGAATAAACCTAATATGTATAGTGTCTGATGTTGACATGATATGCATGTCAACACAAATAATTGTAACAAAGTACTCAATGTAGTCTGATATACCTTATTTTTCTTATCTACTTTCTCATATTATTATAATGATCTGACAATTGAGTCACATATTGTTGGTTCTACTTCACTTATATTTATTTTAGTTAGGTATTAATTCTTTCGGTTGCAGAAAAAATATCACGTTTGATTCCGATCAAAACTTTGTTTGACTCGCAGATTTTGCTTTCGCTCCGCTCCGCCTCGCAAACGCAAAATTCGTTTGTCAAAACATTCTACCTTTTATGAATTGAAAGTAGGCATTTATTTGCTACCCCATTTTAAGGAAAGAAGGTTGTCACAAAAATGACCCACTGGCTGATTTAACGCCACTATATTGACCAAGCAGACTTCCATTTATTGCTAATTAATTGACAGGCATTATTTCAGTGCTTTCCCATCAAACATTAATAAGTTGTTCATTTGGTTCATTCTCACACAAATAATTTATGGTCATTCAGAAAAAATATTATTTCACTCATAATATATAACTACAATGAAAAAAAACAAATGAGATTTTCATGATTTGGTAAATCTGCCAAGAGTTCCTAGTAAATTCTGTTTCTGTTGTGTAATATTGGAATTTATGAAATTTGTGTAAAATGGTCAAAACTTGAAACTTTGTATTGCTTTGGGCATGGATGATTTATTTGTGAATTTCAAGATACCTTCAAATTACTAGCCTTCTGAAGACTCAAGTCTGAGGTAGATGTAGACTGCCTCTTTCTCGTGAGCGGAAATATCGAAAAAAAAAAATTGAATCATTTCTATAAACCTATTTTTGCATGATGTAAAATATCAAGAAAACATTTACAGGCAATAGGGAATTAACACACCTTCTCATATAGAAGAATGTGCAAGAGTTGCAACTTTGAGCCACCTAAAGAAGAAACCAAAGACGGAAAGTGAATTAATGAATTGTAGCCACTTCAAGAAGGTGAATAAATTTTATGAAAACTTCGTAATTAGAAGGCTTTTCTAGTTGAACACATCTTTTTCAGTAATAGATTGTAAAAAGTTCATGATATCATATATTCCATGTCAAGAAATACATTGGTGATCCTTTTCAAATGTGGCAAACTTTGTTTGTGAACCTTTCATTTTGAGTCTTATATCAACTCTCAAAAGGCAAAATTACTGTTGAAAAACATCTGAACCACCCTGTATATTCACTCTGGTCCCCCATTGGGTAACATTAAATAACCCACATGAATATGAAAACATAATTATTCAGATATGTATCATATTGTACCAATAGATTGTACCCATCAGGGTTAGATTGTATTGCAAATCCAGAAAGGGAGATGAGAAATAGGAATATGAAATTAAAATACAACCAATTTTGTTAGCTTTCTGCTAGTTTCATGTACCATTTTTATTGTTACCACTACTACTAGCTTCACTGATGCCTGAATTATCTATTTTCTTATTTCTCTGATTCCTTGATGAAGTTGGCTTATTGGTTGGTATTCTACCAAATTGTCTATTTTGTCTTCTGTTAGTTGAAGACCCACTCTCTTCAGATTTAAAGGAATTGAAAACACCTGGTGCCTGATAACTAAAATAAAGACATTTGAAACATATTGCACCACCAGTAATCACTCAGAAACAGCAATTTCAAGTGATTTTAAGCTATGCTAAATGTGATTAATCCTAAATTATCCTCAATCAGTCACTAGTATAAGTACCAGTAAGAATGTTTTTTATGCAACCTTCCAGGTAAGTACCAGGAAGAATGTTTTTTATGCAACCTACCCTATTTCTTCAGGATCCAGAGATGTGTCAGTAAGATATATATGGATCATTGGAAGTTTGCGCTTCACAACTAGCTGGTCTAATTCAGGAAGAATTGGATCCCAGTATTCTTCAACTCTGAAAGAAACTGAGGTAATGTTTTGTCTTTTTACAAATGCCAACATACCTACATTCTATAACAAAGCCTGGTGATTTGATGCAGTGAGTTTTTACATTCTTGTTTCATAATTTCAGCACAAGTGATACATTTTCCTACAGAGGTTCCAAAACCCGTCCATACTACATGTTTTATTTCCGGAAATTCGTTGAGAGCATGGGTTAGGAGATTTCTTATTTTACTACCTCCTCTAACCTATAAATAAATAATTATCACTAGTAATTTGGTGATATCAAATGAGGAGTATTGTAACAACCTGCATCCAGAGAAAATTATCTGGCAAATTTTTTATAGGAATGTTACTTCTTTCTAGGGGTTCCTCGATATTTTTACCTTTACGATAGTTTTCCATTTTTTATTTTTGAGGAAAATGATATAGGTTGACTTCTTCTTCTTCTCACTTTTGAATCAATACTTTTTGCATATTATCAACTTCACGTTAGTTGTTGGAAGTGGTAGTGCCTCGAGACTCGAGAGATCAGACAAAGAATAGTTGATGAAATTATTTTGTAATCTTACAAACTTCCTTTTGTTCATTGGTGTCAATTCAGGATACATTTGGTTGAATTTTCTGCAAGTTCTAGCAATGATTTGATCACATTGTCCGTGTATAATAAATAAATTCATAAGAACTTCGTTTGAATAATCGATATTTGCGTTCATTCTGGGAGATTTTTTGCAACACTGTCAATAACAATTACTGAATTACTCATAACCCAGCAAACATCGAAAGGCGGTAGAAAGCCGGGCCCATGGCGAGAACGGCGGGCAAATGTCGATGCCGGCATGCCTCGAAAGGCCCTCCATATAATTCCGAAGGATTTTATGACGAAGGCAGAATGTACACATACTTATGATGGGCCTCTGTTTCCCAGCCGCTAGTCTTCCGCTGTATGTATCCAAGTCCATCAAGGAATCTAATAATATAATAATATGAGGACTTTGAAGATGCATGAGCTTTCATTACATATGAATCATGAATCTATTTTTGGAACGAAAATCAAAGAGTACCTGGTCTACTTGAAGAAACAGTTATATTTCAAGAATTACTGTAGGTATGTATAATGTTGCATGTTTTGAATAAGTATAGAGAATGAAATCATTCAATCTTTCAGCAACAAAATCAACAACCAGAAGCCCATCAATCACAGATATTAATGAAGAAATCACACAATGATCCAGACTATGATATAAATTTCTTCATGGTATATGATATCTCACTTCCAGGCAACACTCATATCAATATGAGAAAGAGTGAGGTTCTCCATATCTGGGAATTGTTTTCTTGTGGATTGAACTCTATTGTTGACAATAACTTGATCAATATAATAACTGATTACCTACATACATAACTTTCAAGTTATCAGGTAGGTACATAGGTGATGTAATTTTTGACCTAGAGTTAGCAACTTTTTGAAACAAGTGGAGAAACAAATATCTATCCTGCATGATGAAACACAAATACCTATTATTGTAAATTGTAGGTACCTTTTCATGATGAGTATACAGAGTGATATGTAGAACTAAAATTAAGATGTTTGATGTTTCCATAGTTGTGATATGTATTGTTTGAGATCATGGCAATAATATACACACATGGATATTTTCACTTCTTGTTTTTGTATGGGGTATTTATACTGCTAGTTTCCTGGAAAAAACTGTGATATCAGGATTTTTATGTAATTCTTCAACAACTTCAGGTAAGGAGTGAATTCCACATTTCTGTTATACCCAGAGGATTCACAAAAAACTGGGAGACCTCAATTCTGTTTTTTGAAGTTCCACATTTTTCAACCAGTTTGAAAATAAAGAGAGTGATGAAGATCTGAGTGAAAATGAGATTCTTTGCTTTCCAAGTGATATAAACTGGGATACCTATCAAAAAACTTATTTTCACTGAGATATATATGCATATGCATAGGACATCAAAAAACAGAATACCATGAATATTGAATTCATTCAACCCCGTTAACCAACGGCCCTGAAAAACTCCTCTATTGGGGGAATAAAAATTCTCAAGCGGCCAATTAATGGCAGTCTCTGAAAAGTCTCAATCGGGCTGAATATATGCCATGAATGCGGTACATTTGAGTACTTGCATCTGCCCACCAGAAGCCCTGCAATGTAATAAGCGGCACACTGATGGCTCTAGAGAGGCGGTCGGCTGTCGGCCGCCGGGACACGGGCTAGCCGGCCCAATTTAGTTGTACAATAGAGGACCGCTGTTACCGCTCGCTGGCAAGTTTCATTGTACCTTTAGAGGGCCGCAAGAATCATGTTTGCTGGGAAATGTCACCGAACTGTCATGAGTTTGATATTTCCATGACTATCTAAAATTAACTTTTTCATAAAATTATATTTTTCACGAAAAGCGGCTTTATTAAGAAAACTTGATGATTTAGGTATAGGGACATGCTATGTCATCTTGAAGCATTTTTATTCGTCTTTCGATTTATTGAGTAAAAAACAGTGGGTTCCATTTGAAAAAATGAACTTTTGACCACTTGTATGAACAACGGATATAATAATAATTTCAGCACGCCCTGTATGATATGGGGGCAACTTCTTTGTGTAAATTGAATACATCAAGCAGGTCCAAACCACCACTAAAATATCAACTCTTTATGATTCGAGAGTCCTGATTTACATAAGTTCAATTAGGGATATGTTTTGGATCATATATTTAACACAAATTATTTTTTATCTCGAAAACCGATAGAGATAGGTATAGGGATTTATTAACAAAAGAGAATTGTAATAAGAAGACAATTCTAAAAATTTGTTAATATACGGGGTGTTCCATTTAAAAAAATGAAGTTGCTAGGACTTTTTGATAGAAACGGCAACGTCGCAATTTCGAAAATATTTTAGATCGATAGAACAGGTGATGAAATGTGAGATGCGAAACTTTCAGAAAAATCCTGCGTTGCGTTCCCCATAAACGTCTAACGTACCATCGACCGTGAGTTACCCTGTATATACAGTGTGACCCACTTATAATGGAAACACCCCTGTATCTTACGTAATCGTCGGATAAGGATCCTGAAATTTGCTGGGAGCGAGAGATATTCCAAAAATGCACTCCATGACCAAGTGGGGTCATCTTCAGTGATATACACTGCTCGCCAACAGCCATGGAACCACCCCAATCTCCAGAAAATGATATTAGGAGTCAAAATCACTTCAGATTCGCCCAATTTTCTAACTATTCATTTTTTTCCTGGAAAATTTTCAGTTCTGAAAAATTAAATTTTGTCGCACTTTTTACGGAAGCACCCCCGTATCTTACGTAATTCACTTTATCTTTGGACTTTCCCTTCCTCCTACAAATTTCAAAACCCTACCTCAATAATTATGATGATGATGAATAATTAAGTGAGATACGGGGGTGCTTCCATGAGGAGTGAGACAAAATTCAATTTTTCTGAACTGATAATTTTCTAGGAAAACCATGAATAGTTAGTAAATTGGGTGTCCTGATTCCGAATCCGAAGTGATTTTCAACCAATTTTGACTCCTAATATCATTTTCCGGAAATTGGGGTAGTTCCATGGCTGTTGGCGAGCAGTGTATATCACTGAAGATGGCCCCACTTGGTCATAGAGTGCATTTTTGGTATATCTCTCGCTCCCAGCAAATTTAAGGATCCTTATTCAACGATTACGTAAGATACAGGGGTGTTTCCATTATAGAAGTGGGTCACACTGTATGTACATACAATAATTTTACATCCATTGGATAATCATCACAGGATCAATCAAAAACCTACTTTTCGGATGTACACTGAATGTCAAATAATGGATCACACCTGTACGATCATTATCGTACGTACAGGGTGATTGTTAATATTTTACCCAATAGCTATAAGAATCTCATTGTTGAATAGATACAAAAAAATTGAGAGAAGCGGAGTTGTTCATAGTCATGTAGTCTTTTTTTAGGTGTATAATGTCTATATGACTGACATACAAAACATATATTTTCACAAATGGAATACCCTGCTGAATTTCATTCCGTCCTTGGGTAGAGTTCAGAAAGATGAGTTCAATGATATATGATAACATCCCGGGGTATTAGATCACCCGTTTCGGACTATTTCCATAATCTTCAATAAATAGCCAAACTTCAGAGCCTTATGAACACGTTGAGAATCAAGTTTTCGATGCGCAGTTTTCATCATGAATTAACAAATTAATGTTATATTGATAATTTGTCAATATTAAGGGAACTTGAATTAACCAAAAGTGATGACGTATTTTGCAAACCGACCATTTTCTCGGAATTTTCGAATGGAACGCCCTGTATTTAATTTCATCCTTGGATAGAGCGAAGAAAGACGAATTCAATGATATATATAATTATTATGATAGAGTTATGAATGAGTATAGTGATTTAGGATCAGGATCAACATGTGAACCATGACAGACATTGACTGCGCAGTTAGTGCACCATTCACGGTTAGGTAACAAACCTAGTGTATCCGACTTCAAAGTCGAGATCCCGAAATTAAAGTCGGGGGTCCGACTTTAAAGTTGGGATTCGAAAAAAAAAGTATAGGTGGCCCTTCAGCGTCTTCGTTTTAAGATGAAGTATTGAACACGGATATACTGACAGTATTATTTTCGAAAATCTAATGATTTAAACAAAGATAACCTATACGCTGAGAATATAATCTTTCCCAAAATATCTAGATATGTTTTGTTAACTGGAAAGAAGAGGAAAATAATGAACATTGTGGTCTACTTTTTATAAGCGCGCATCCAAATTGACATTTGGTATACTAATAATATAGTTATTTATTATACAAGGGAAAAAAGTAGTAGATTTTAGCTCCAGGTTGTGTTGTCTCCCGACGCGTATAGCGGAGGGAGACAAAAAACCGTGAGCTAAAATCTAATATTTTTCCCGTGTATAATACACTATTTTTCCCGTGTATAATACACTATTTTTCCCGTGTATAATACACTATTTTTTTATGTGACAGAAGAAAGGACGAATCAGTATTGAGAAGATATAACATTATTTTGAAATCTGAAAATTATCGACGTGAAATTTTAAGTTTTTAGGGACACCTGCGTTTTAGGCATCTTCATCATTCTTTTGAAGTAATCAAATATCTGATGTCACTTCTGTCAGTCTAATTCTGTGGTTTGATTTCAAAAAATTGTGAATTTAGTGGTTGTTCAGTAATATACGTAACGGCGAAGTTGAATGGTAGATAAAAGGACTTGCAGTTCTTTCTCGGAGACGGTATTATTGACTCATTTTTCGGAACTATAGCACAACAGAAGCCATCAACAGTGTATATATATGTGATATATATCCGGGAAAAAAGTACTCACTTTTTTCCCACGGGAAAAAAGTAATTCATGAAAAGTGACATTTTATAACCTGCCAACAGAGATGAAATGCCAAACTTTTTTCCCGTCACAGAAAAAATATGTTTATTTCGACAGAATCAGAGAATACGCATTGGAAGAAATAATGATAGCAAGTTAAAATTTGGTAAATAAACATTAGAAAACCCACAGAAGCAGCAAATGCTGCTTGTACGTGGTGAAGAAGTATGAATTTCGTTTG